GGGACAAATTCTCCATCCAATGGCCCTTTGTGGAGCATTTACTGTGGCTTATGGCAAAAGCCTACGAGTGTCTCCCAGCAAGGACTACTAGGACTTTGGACCAGGGAATTTTTACTTGGGCATTTATTGCCTTGCTGTGGGACATTAACTGAAGCTCCCCTTATGACTGAAGGACATAAAATGATCTTGACACGTAAAATACCCATGGTGTCTTGGGTGATGGCAAAGAAATACTCTAATGGGGTGGCAGTGCCCAGAAGAGTTCTATAATAAAATGGAAATGGTTTATACAGAATCATCTGCCTAGGGAGTACTAGAAGATTTACAACCAGGGAGCCCGTTTCCCTTAGAACTGACTCTAGAACTATGTGAGGAGCTATTGGATTATACTGTCACTTGCGCAGTGCTCTATATGCAGCTCTGAACATCAGAATATTTTGTAAACTACTTAAAAATATTTTTTGTTTAAAATTACATATTGTGGCTGAGCATGGTGGCTCACACCTGTAATCCTAGTACTCTGGGAGCCCAAGGTGGGTGGATTGCTTGAGCTCACATGTTTGAGACCAGTCTGAGCAAAAGTGAGACCTCATCTCTACTAAAAATAGAAAAACTGAGGGAAGAGAATCGCTTGAGCCCAAGAGTTTGAAGTTGCTATAAGCTATGATGCCATGGTACTCTGCCTAAGGTGACAGCTTGAAACTGTCTCAAATAAATAAATAAGTAAAATTACATATTTTGTTTTAAATTATACGTTTAAAAATATAAGTTTACAAAATAGTCTTTACATGTTGGCCACCTCTTTATAAAATTTTGTAATGAATATTCTGTAAATAAAGGTATATTTAGCTACAATTTCCCATTTTCCCTATGTATGGTGACTTTAGGGGTAATGTTTGGGACATCCTATAGTTTGATGGAGAAGTAGAATGGGCATTTAAAATATTGGTTGTCTAAAACAAGGGGAGATAAAAAGCATGAACATCTGGCTTACTTGCCCTTGTGTGCATGTGCTGACTCACTCAACGTGAGTGGGACTAAAGGAGTATGTCCCCACTAGATTTTCCTGTTTACTTGCTCGGTCTAGGGAAGAGAGAATGGGGGAAGATGCTGATATCACTGTGCAATTCTTGCCAAGGGAGGAATATGCTGGTATAGTGATTACACTTTTTTCTTTCTTTCTCACATCACCTCAGTTGTTTTTTTTTTTGAGACATAGTTTCACTATGTCACCCTTGGTAGAGTGCTATGGCATCATGACTCACAGCAACCTCAAACTCTTGGGCTTAAACGATTCTCTTGCCACAGCCTCCCAAGCAGCTGGGACTATAGGCGCCCACCACAACACCCGGCTATTTTTTTATTGCAGTTGTCATTGTTGTTTAGTTGGCCTGGGCCGGATTCAAACCCACCAACTTTGGTGTATGTGGCTGGCACTGTAACCACTGTGCTATGGGCACCAAGCCTCAGTTTTTTATTTCCCCTACCTGATTTGGTGGTCCTAGGGCCAGGGCTGCAAATGCAGCTTCCAGTAATAGGGAAGATTCCCAAGCTAGAAACAGTTAACTATGCATTTATTTAAACCTTATGTCAGAATTCCTAAGGCCTGTTGGAGATTCGTTGTGCCTTTGCCCCATCTGACAAAATTAGGGCTAGGAATGAATATAGCTATATTGCTGGCGGCAAAAATAGCCCATTCATTCTGCAATTGTATAACTTACCCTATCTGAGCAGGAGTGGACCAAGGGGGAGGCAGTTGCTAGACTAGTGCTGCTACTTACAGTCTGGACCAACACAAACACAGTGTTGATTCTAATGTCCCTTAAAAAGGTTATTTATTAATACAGACAAGAAAGAATATCAACTGAGGGTAAAGGAATAAATAAATTGGGCCATGAATTCAGGGACAGCCCATATTAATTAATAATTTGAAAGAGGCTTAGAACCAGAAATGATATTGCCTTTTTAACTTTTTTTGTGAGACAGAGTCTCACTTCGTCACCCTTGGTAACGTGCCAGGGCACGTTATAGCTCACAGCAACCTCAAACTCTTGGGCTCAAGTGATCCTCTTGCCTCAGCCTCCTAAGTAGCTGGGACTACAGTGGCCTACCACAATACCTGGCTATTTTTAGAAATGGGGTCTCGCTCTTGCTCAGGCTGGTCTTGAACCTGTGAGCTCAGGCAATCTACCCACCTTGGCCTCCCAGAGTACTAGGATTACAGGTGTGAGCCACTGTGCCTGGCCAACATTGTTTTTTTTTAGTTCAATTATATCAAATGTCTAAAAGGCACATGTTATCAGAGACCACTCCTGCTTTTTTAACCTCTCAAGATCAATGGAAGCCTGCAAATCTTGAGTGGCCTCATCCTGGGAGACATATTTACACATTATGACAGTGGATGTACTAATCTAATTATTAATGATTGAATGAGATTCTAGTAATGGGGCAATATCTTTTGTGTTGCACATCCTTTTAACATAAAGGATCTGGGTTCAAAGACCAAGGGTAAACTGTGACATTGTGAAATACGTATTTGGTCTTCAACCCTGTTTCTTGGCATACAATTCCTAAAATCCTCAGAATCTCCAAAGTGATAATTTTTTGATGTTTGTACTGACTGATGGCTGGCAGCCCATAGGTAACTTCAGAATGAGACTGGTCACCTGAAAGACCAAGGCAGGATTGGCAGGCTGGGACTTTATTCCCAACCCCCTACTTCCAGGGAGGAGAGAGGAGCCAAAGGTTAAGTTGATCATCAATGGCCAGTGGTATACTTAATCATACGTATATAATGATGCCTTCATAAAACTTAAGGGGACAAGGTTTGGGGAGCTTCTGGACAATTTCACAGGTGGAGGATCCTAGAGGATGGTATGCCTACAGAGAGTATGGAAGCTCTACACCCTTAACCCTATAGCCACCCTATGTATCTCCTCATTTGTATCCTTGGCAATATCCTATATAATAAACCAGTAGACGTGCATTTCTCTTGAGTTCTCCGAGTTGTTCTACCATATTAATTGAACCCAAAGTGGAGGGGGTCATGGGACCACCAGTTTACAGCTTGTTAGTCAGAAGTTCCAGAGGCTTGGACTTATAATTGATGTCTGATGGTGAGACATGGTCTTCTGAGACTGAGCCCTTGACCTGTGGGATTTAATGCTATTGCTACATAGACAGTGTCAAAATTGAATTAAGGAAACCCAGTTGTTGTCATTTCAGGGTTGACTGCTTGCTTGCTTGTTGGGAGAAATCCCTACACATTTGGTTACAGAAGTCTTCTGGTTTTCTGTGTTGACTGTTGTGTGGTGTAGAGCAGAGAAAAAACAGTTTGAGTTTTTTCACCTTTAATAGAGAAAAAGAAGAGGAGCAAGGACACAGGCCTATATATAGCATTTCAATATGGAGAAGTGGGTGCAAGGAAGTGAGGAAAAACCAGCAATATTTGAGAAGGAGCAGCCAAAGTGGTAGAAGGACAATCAGGAGAGAGGGGGAGTCATGAAAGCCAAAGGAAGCATTTTAGGAAGATGGATGTCAAAAGTTGCTGAATAGCCAAGAAGGACAAGGTCTGGGATGTCACAACTGGACTTAGCAATGTGAAGGTCAATACGACTTGACAAGATCTATTTTGGTGAAGTTAACAGGATTGTGACCCTGACTAGAGTAGGTTCAAGAGAAAGGGATGGGAAGAACTGGAGAACATGAGTAGTACAGAAAATTCTTTCTTAGACTTTTGCTGTGAAGAAAAGCAGAGACTAGGGCCAGGTACAATGGCTTGTGCCTGGAATCTTGGCTGAGATGGGAGGATTATCTGAGACGCTGTCCAAAAAAAAAAAAAAAAAAAAAGTAGCGACTAAGGGCAGAAAGCAGAGGGGGTTATAGGATTAAGAGAAGGCATGTGTGTATGTGTGTGTATGTATAATAAAAATAAATCACAGCATGTCAGATCCAACAGGTAGAAAACAGATGATGCAGGAAAGAAGGAAGTTGTTGGGTCAATGCTATTGAATAAGCAAAAGAAATAGGATCTAGCACACAAATAAAAGGGCGAATTAAAATCTTGGTTCTACCACTGACAACATTTGTGACTTGGGCAAGATTTGTTTTTCTCACAACAAGGTCTTACCCTATTGTCTATACTGGAGAGCAGTGGCATGATCACAGCTCACTGCAGCCTCAAACTTTTGGGCTCAAGTGGTCCTCCTGCCTCAGCCTCTTGAGTAGCTGGGACCACAAGCGTGTGCCACCATACCTGCCTAATTTATTCTATTTTGTGTCTCACCATGTTCCTCAGGCTGGTGTCTCTAATTCTTGGCCTCAAGTAATCCTCCCACCTAGGCCTCCTAAAGTGCTAAGATTACAGGCCCTCAGCCACCATACCTGACCTTGGCAAGATTCTTAAACTCTTTGAGCCTTAGCTTTTTAACTTGTAAAGTGAGAATTTCCTGAAATTACTGAACTGTATAGTACCGTTACACTGACATCTTAAGTTATAATTTTCCTTAATACTTATTGGCAGAATGAGATATAAAAAAATTTCGTTACATTGCCTTTTCCCAAGACAATAATTCATATCTGGTATCTAATGAAAAGTAGTTAATGCTATAAAGCACACAGTCACACCCAAAATAAAGACAATTAATTACTGTAACAGTATTATTTTCGTCCCTCATGTTGCATATCTTTTTTTTTTTCTCTTTATGTTGCATATCTTTGGAACATGTATTGGCAGAAAACAAACATGCCTTCCTCCCTGATATATTCAGACTTAATCCTTTTGTACCCTCTGTGTGATAGCTGACAGACACTCAAATACTATATCCTCTACTGAGATGTTTGTAGATGATTTGCAGAAATAGCAAACAAGAAGAACAATAACTAATGAAAAAATGCTCAGAAAACAGGAAAGGTGAAAGGGGCCACCTTACAAAGCATTATATTCCTGTCACTGGAAGTGTTCAAACGAAATGTAGATGGTGCCCTATGTGCTCATGTACCTTAAGCCATGGGTGATTCAGTGCTTCATAAACAGTGATCCTTTCAGCTGGATCCAGCATCAGCATGCGACGTACTAGGTCTTTGGCACTTTCAGAGATATGGCTCCACTGCCTTGGATTCATCTGAGGAGTAAGAAAGGAAAATTATATAGTTATCTTTAGTGAGAAGTTAACATTTACTATTATTTACTATTCCTATCCTGTTTCAATGTGAATAAAATTTTCAGAGCTAAGAACAGAAGTTTGAATGTAAAGGCTTGTTTTCTAATGAAGAAAAGGACAAATGCAATTCTTTTGTTGTTGTTCACTATATGAGAACCTGCATCAGTAAATATTCCATACATATGCTCTCATTGTTATAACTTTAATAATCGAAGAATAGAATGTTCATGATTCTAGCTTCTTCTACCTTTAGATCCTCAACTAAAGAGATTAGAGTATATTGATCTAGAAAGGACTAACCATACTTTAAAAAATTTAAAGAAAGGAACATTTAAATGTTTTTTAAAATGGGGATCAGCAGTAATTGTGAACTATGTAAAGTTATTAATAGGAGATTTTGATTACTGTATTACCAATTTTGCTATTTAGGAAAAGCATACTATTACCATAAGGCTAACAAAATAATCAATTTGCTTGAATATTATCCTCAGTGAAGTTACATTTGTCTCTCTTATAGAGATGAAACAACTAAGACACATGGTAAATGACTAAAATCAAACAGAAAGAATTATGAGTTGCTCAAAAGATATAAGACTTATGAGAAAAGCAGTAGCTCTGTGAGGAAAGAGCTAGAAGGCTCCTGGGGAAAAGGATATGTCTAAGAACAGGAACAATAAAAAAATTCAAAGAATGCTAGGGCTTTTAGGGTTGGGAAGGGAAATGGGGAAAGAAGTAGACAGTAGGGTCTCATTCCCTTTGCAACGTATCAGGAAGCTGACCACTGGGAGTTATGTGAGATGCCTGATGCCAGGAGTTTCAAGCAAAGGCATGGCTTTAACAGGCAGAGAACCATGTTACCTTTTAAGGGAGAAACATGGAGAATAAACTTCACAACAATTTACAGCCTAATAAAATCACAGTACTTGCACTGCAGTATAAATGAATCATTATAATTTGGCCAAGGGCTAGAACTAGATATTCAGCTCTGGCTAATGTGAGGTTTTGTACTTGTAGATAGAGAGTGAAAAGTGTCTCCATGTTAGGGATAGCTCTTAAAGTTGAAGGTTGTTCCATTTTTTTAAAATAGCAGAATTTCAAACAGTAGCTACTTCTGTTTGTGAAATCCCTTTAAGAGGAAAGCCATGAAACTGTTTAAATATTGTTATCCTATTGAAATTGTGGTCAACTGACCAGTCTGAAAAAAGAGTTAAGTATTAAAGTACTAAATAATTAGACAGGGCTTAGATAGCCTTGTTTCTTCTTCCCCATCTTGGAGCTGCTGACGTGCTATTTCTTTCTTTCTTCCTTGCCTCCCTTCCTTCCCTTTCTTCCATTCCTTCTTTCCTTTCAGATAGAGTCTCCCTCTGTCACTCTGGGTAGTGCCATGGTGTTATAGCTCACAGCAACCTCAAATCCTTGGGCTTGAGCAATCTTCTTGCCTCAGCTTCCTGAGTAGCTGAGATGATAGGTGCCAGCCACAATGCCTGGCTAGTTTTTCTACTTTTAGTAGAGACAAGGTCTTGCTCTTGCTCAGGCTGATCTTGAAGTCCTGAGCTCAAGCAATCCACTCTCCTTGGCCTCCCAGAGTGCTAGGGTTACAGGTATGAACTACTGTGCCTGGCCTAATGTGCTCTTTAAACTTTGCATGACTTTTCTTTGGTAAAGGAAAGTGGTGGTAAGATTTCTGATGTGAGTAGAGGGTTAGAAGGCTACTTCCCCCTCCCCCACAATCCTTTTTATGAGAGAGCCCAATACAGGGCTTTGTTTTCCTTTGGCTGAGTGAGAAGAGTAACTAAAATTAATTGGGGAGGTTGTTTCTATAAGGGGGAATAAAATAGAGGTATAAAACAATCTCATTTATTTGAATACCAAAGTCACGGTTTAGAATATTGTTGTACAGATACTAACTGGCTACTTGTAACAATGATGTAAGATGACATTGCATCTTTTATATACAGTATGGGAAATATATTTTTGTCCCTTATTAAAAAATTAAGGTTAAATATAGGATATACTTCAACTAAACAGTACTCTCTGTGACATCAACAGTAAAAGATCAAGTAAGCTAGCAAATGAAAGTTTAAAATATTTTTTTTTTTTTTGGAGACAGAGCCTCAAGCTGTCACCCTGGGTAGAGTGCTGTGGCTTCACAGCTCACAGCAACCTCCAACTCCTGGGCTCAAGCGAGTCTCCTGCCTCTGCCTCCCAAGTAGCTGGGACTACAGGCGCCCACCACAACGTCTGGCTATTTTTTGGTTGCAGCCATCATTGCTGTTTAGCGGGCCAGGCTGGATTCGAACCTGCCACCTTAGGTGTATGTGGCTGGCGCCTTCGCCACTTGAGCCATAGGCACCGAGCTGAAAGTTTAAAATATTAAAGTCACTCAAGACCAGTAGCAGTTTATAAACTATGGAAATTTATTTATTTATTTATTTTATTTTTTGAGACAGAGCCTCACTATGTCACCCGCGGTAGAGTCCTGTGACATCACAGCTTACAGCAACCTCAAACTCTTGGGCTTAAGTGTTCCTCTTGCCTCAGCCTCCCGAGTAGCTGGGACCACAGGCACCTGCCACAACGCCCAGCTATTTTTTTTTTTGTTGTTGTTGTAGTTGTCATTGTTTTTTAAGCAAGCCCAGGCCAGGCTTGAACCCACCAGCCTTGGTGTATGTGGCTGGCACCGTATTCACTGAGCTATGGTTAATGGCCAAGCCATAAACTATGACAATTTAAATGTACTACAATTAAAAGATCTTGTCTAACTTATTTTGAAAACACCCACAGAAATCAAGGATCTTGTTAATAGTTCTTCTGTTAAGAATCATCAAGGATGGTGAAATGATTATTTTAAGATCTGCTTTAAAATAATCTATTATGGTAATATGTGGAATATTGGCCATATGTTAACTATTTGATGATAGAGGTTCATCATACTATTCTCTCTACTATTTTTGTCTGTTTGAAATTTTCCATAACAAAATAAAAAAGAAATGCTGGCAGAATCATCATAGACAGTAGAGATGGACTTATACTTCACTAGCTGTTGAAAACCTGAGCCTTTTGTAAGGAAAGCCATGAAGATAAACTAGAGGTGAGGTTAGCCAAGTAAAGGAGTAAATAAATTATTAACCTCAAAGCTTCATATCCCAGCTACAGAAATTATGATATAGCTGCCATTATGCAATCCATCTGACTTAACTGTAATACTAGGAATAGGGAATTTTTAAATGATTTAATTTTTGGACATGTGTGAACAGTCCAAGATTCTTACCAAGAAACAAAAATAACTATTCGATGTTTTAAAAATAGACAAAATCAAATACCAGAGGCTGTTGGAATGAAGCACATTGCCTTGGAAACCAGGAAGTTAGCAACTGAACAAACACAAAGGAAAATTCTATTATTAGCAAAAACTTATAACTCAAAAGGGTAGGTGACAGATTTTATTATATGGTACCTCAGTCACAAGTTGCTGTGAAGATTAAATCAGTTAATATAAGTAAAGTGCTTAGAACAGTTCCTGGCACAGAATAAGTGCTATGTCTGAGTTAGCTATCATTATTGCTAGTATTATTATACTGATGAATTACTAATTATGTTTCTTTTCACAAGTTAGTATCTGTAATTCCACTTGTCAAAATTCAACCAGAAAGTCTTGGCTGTGCATTCCTGATAGACATTCACAATTTCCAAGGATTGAAGGGGATGACTACTTACAAGCAGTTTTGTGAGACACTAAGTTACCTTGAAAGTATTGATTTTATTCCCTAGAGGCGAACTGACTCTAAGAGAAGCAAAAAAACTGTACTGAAAACATTCTTCTCCATTAATAGTTTTTGCATACATCTTGAACCAAATAAAAGACAAACTGGTATGCACTTATAATCTGATGGCAAACAAGGCAAACAAACAAAAGTATACACCATTTTCATCTCTGCAAGATTCATTTATGGCTTAAAAGATAGGCTGCAAGTCTGAAAGTACTTTACCTTTTTTTTCCCCCAAGTCCCATATAAAATTCTAACATTAATGAGGAATTGAAAAGAAACCATTAGGGGCCTCACAGTCTGGGAGTCTACTGTGATATAAACCTGGTTTTATGTTGCCAGGCATGGCTGAAAATGAAACAGTGATTCGGCTGAATAGAAAGTATGAATTTCAGTAAAAGTGGGAGGAAAAAGAATTTCCCCAACATAAACTGCTTTGACTTGATATACAGACAACCCTTCCCTCATGCTTTGGCCTCCTAGTCCCTGCCAGCTATATGTAGTGGTATAGAGCAAAGAAGTATAAGAAGAGGTGGGGTAGTGAAATCAATCTTAAGCTTATTTATTTCCAAAGTCTGTGATAGTACATGACATTTCCAAGACACTATAGGCAAACAAGAATACAAATGTTTAAGTCACATCAGAATGCCTCTATATTGTATTATGAAATGCAATTGTGATTCTGATATTTCAGTTTATCCTGGAATGTAAACAGCAAATGTTTTCAGCTATGCTAGCATAAATTTAAAATTAAAGTGGATGAAATTTCCATTTCAACGTTATATATTAAGAAAAAGCCAACTTTCCCTCCCTTCTTTCTTTCTTTCTCATTTTTTGAGACAGAGTTTTACTCTGTTGCCCCAGGCTAGAACGCCATGGTGTCATGGCTAACAGCAACCTCAGACTTCTGGGCTCAAGTGCTCCTCCTGCCTCAGCCTCCCAAGTAGCTAGGACTACAGGACTTGTCCCAACACCCAGCTAATTTTTCTATTTTTAGTAAAGACAGGGTCTTACTCTTGCTCAGGCTGGTCTTGAACTCCTGACCATGCCCAGGTCACCATGCCCAGCCTAAGCAAAAACCTTTGAAAACTAAGCCCAAATTCTCAAATTTACTCAAAGGGCCATAAGAGTTTTCTTCATCTGGATCACTTTTTAAACAGGGGGCCAGTTCACTGTCACTCAGACCATTGGAGGGCCGGACTGCGGGCCCTGGGATGAGTCGGCTGCTAAGCAGGACAGGCAGTGGTGGCAAAAACACCCCGCAGGCCAGATAAATGTCCTACAAGGGCCACATGTGGCCCATGGGCTGTAGTTTGAGGACACCTTATCTGGATGATGTAGTTCAGCTGATAGCAACTCAGAAATTTACATAAGGCCTATGTTGCCTAACAAGGGAACTGGGTCAATGATGGAAGCAAAGATTTCTTCTCTGTTTGGGCAAGTTCATGGCAGTCTATCAGTGAGCAAAGACAGGCAGTAACTTTAAAAAGCATTTTTCAGAATAATTTAGTCTCAATGGAAAAATAAGATGTTCATAATACACTACCTTATATTTTCCTTTAATAATGCCTTCAAACAATCTTTCCTTGGTTCCGTAAAAAGGCAAACAACCACTGAGCAGGATAAAAAGAATCACGCCGCACCCCCAGACATCTACAGGCTTTCCATAAGGCTCTCTTTTGACCACTTCTGGGGCCATAAAGTGAGGTGTTCCAACGCGTCCTACATTTAAAACAACAACATCATTAAGGAAACATGTTTACATAAAATGGAGTTTTCTACTTGAAAGCTGAAAATAATGGAACAATAACAAACTGAACAAAAAGTATGCTAATATTCTTATCACCTCTCCCTTCCCCATAAAGTCATGCTCACAGGAGGAAAAAAAGTTATGTCCCCAATCACATTTTGAAAATACTGAGCCCAAGATAGGTACTATGTCTTGTTGAATTTCTGCACACTACACAGTATGTATTTACATAGTTCTTGCTTCAAGAATAAGTTTAAATTTATTAATTTTCACATGTTTAAAGGTCACTAAAAATATAGATTTGGGGTATGTGAAAGTGTCAGCAGGCAGGGTCTGTAGTTGCTCAGGAAAAGAGCTGGGAGGCCTGCCCTGAGCAGGGGCAGAGACAGGGAGAGGAGTGAAAAAGAAATCTGTGGAAAAAAGACTGCTTTTGACTGCCAAATGGAAATTTCCCTAGTGAAACCTAATGCTGAGGACTGTTGTTTGGAATATGTACAGTAGTGCCTCCATAGTTGACCACCTCCCTACATTGACCACTTCATATGTTGACCAGTTTGTTACAGTCCCCTGGGTAGTCAACTTACAGAGCTTCTACTGTATTTGAATATGAAATCCTATTCAGTTGATTTTATGGATTGTAGCAATAAACAATGGTTAGGAATATTTATTATAATATGCATTTTTAGTTTCCTCCTAATATTAATGTTTGAAGAAAGAAGGAGGGCAAATATATGGCATAAAACAAAAAAATCATAAAGCTCCTCCCATGCGGTCTGCTTTGATCTTTTGTTTCTCTCTCAAAAACTAGCTTTCTAGAAGGAATCTGTTATCAGTTGTTTACACATTAGTAACCATCTTTAACTCAGTATCTTAAAAGGAGTTTTTTTCATCTATTGTGGTATGAAAGGCTTATACCCTGGAGGGAAATTATACGGAATGGGGCACTGCCCATGAGACTTGGCAGCTCTTCTAGAGGTATGTAGGCCCAACCCTCTCCCTTCCTCCCTCTTATCTCTCTCTACTCTCTTTCATCATAATGAGTCCAAGATAATTTTTACTTCAAGATTGTATAATATCTTATCTAGAGCTCAGAACTGTGGTTCAAAGTTTTTTTATTTATTTATGTATTTATATGTGTATTTATTTGGTAGAGATGAGGTCTCACTATGTTAGTCTGACTAGTCTTAAACTCCTGGCCTCAAGTGAATCCTCTTACCTCAGCCTCTCAAAAGTACTAGGATTACAGGGATCAGCCACTGTGCCCAGTCAGTCTGGAGTTTTAAAGGGACTTTAGAGATCTGCTCCAGCTAGACTAGAGAGCATGTGACATTAAATTCTGTTAGTGATTATCAAACTCAGTTGGAATGGAGAGAGACAAAGGAGCTGTTGTAGCTTATGTATCGATGATGTACCTTTGCTACAGATCATTATGGTTTCCTTCCCTCACAGCAGGAGAGATCAAATTCAGGGTTCTGATAGTGAAAATATTTTCATTTAAAATGTATAATAGGTCAGTAAAAACTACTGGTTAGAAGAACCTAGCTAGAGAAATGTTTCTATTTTTGTATTATGCTATTTTGCTTCCTCAAGTAATATGTATAAAGAAGCTGAAGTGATGGGAGCTAAGCCTCCCACTTTCATTAACAGACTGGACAAGGAGGATTAGCCTTGTTCTGATGGACAGTAGGGGAAAACAGGGCAAGAACTCAGGGTACCATTCAGGGCACTGGTACTAGGGTAGCAATGAGATACCTGCTGATGGTTTGGATGATGCTTTGAAGTCAACTTGATTCCTACCACTTCCCATGTAAGAAAGAGCCAAGCAACTCAAAATGGGGGCCTTACATGGGAAATAACTAGAGCCACCATGGCCAGTCACAGCCATCCTGATGAGGTTCTACTTACCTGGATAAAAGACTACCTAGTTCTGCAGAATCACTGTCATTCTTGGGGGAAGATGCATGTCTTTTGGTTCAAGAATTTGCTCATAGATGATAGGGCAAAAAAACCTTGTTAGAATACACGGGAATGCTCCTTTTATTTCATGTACATGAGTAGATTGTGAAAAGGAGTGGAGTTAATCTTTTATATATACTGACTTCCTCAAATTCCTTGTTTTTGCTGTTAAACTATTTTTTCCTTTTTTATGACCACTTGACTTTTATGACTTTGACCACAAAATTCTAAGAACAGGAAACTAATTACTAAACCAAATTAAATATCACTGTTTGAAATAGTTCAGATATATATTTAAATATTACATTTTGATAATATAGTAAAAGCTTCCTATCTATAACCTCGGGGAGGGAGTTGTTCTGAATAGATATACTTTCAATACTTTAGGATTTGAATCTTTATGTACACAACGATTTTTACTTTAATAACTTTATATGGTTATCTTTCTACAGTTTCCTGACTTCTTTTACACAGAATGCTGCACATAAGTTAACCTTTTCTTGATGACTCAGAGTTGTCATTGTGGATCTCAATTAGAAAACTATGCTACAGAACAGAAAGCACCCTCAGGAAGTTCAGAGGTATGTAAAGGTTGATTTCTTTGGTATTAAAAGGCTGCTGTGTGTTCCAAGTTTTGATGTCTGCTCAATATATATTTTGTCTGTCAGGCTTTCTTTTCTTTCCTCTCACTATGCTTACTTCAGTTCTGGCTTCTCTTAATTTATTGTTTATAATCTGTTATTAATTGGAGGCTAACTAGTAATGAGACTATTTCACTTGATAGCAATTTGCTAGGTCCTAGACACCATCGTAGGTGCTGCGGATACAGAGATAAGCCATGATGCCCCTTGCCTTTATAAATCTCAGTCTTTGATATGATTACAAGTCTCCACATCCAATACTACCCAGAGGTATGTAGCCCAGATAGTAATATAGAAGAGAAAGAGTCGGGTTACTTAATTTGGAATGGTGAAGATCAGCCTGCTTTTAAAAGGAGCCAGTTGTTAGCTCAGCCTTTAAGAACAGTAGGAGTTAACCAGATAAACAAAAGGTATTCCAACTAGAGGAAGAAGGAACATAAATCTATATAATTTTATAAAAAGTGTGAACAAGTCACCCTCAGAAAGAGTATCTTAGATGCCCAATTGAGAGGACCATGAATTTTTATTTTTTTGAGAAAGTCTCACTTTGTCACCCTTGGTAGAGTGCTGTGACATCATAGCTCACAGCAACCTCAAACTCTTAGGCTCAAGTGATTCTCTTGCTTCAGCCTCCTGAACAGAGGAGCTATGACTACAGGTGCCCATCACAATGTCTAGCTATTTTTAGAGATGAGGTCCTACTCTTGCTCAGACTGGTCTCAGACTCCTGAGCTCAGGTGATCTATCCCCCTGGGCCTCCTAGAGTGCTAGGATTATAGGTATAAGCCACTGCGCCCGGCCATGAATGGATTTTTGAGGGTAGGAATAGTTTTGATACTAATATAATTATTTTATAGGTTTTGAGTTGTATTCTGGATAAGTGAATTTTCCAAATAGTTGAGTTTCAGGTAATGGAAGTGTAAATATATTTAAATAGTTCTTACTGTATGGAACATACACAGGAGAGAATTTCTTTCTATTTGTAGGACTGGAGGTTCAAAGATTCCAACTGCCAGAAAATAGCTTTCTGTTTTAAAGTTGATAAATATTAGCAAAATTTCAAAAGTACCTTAAACAATAGGAAAGCTTTTTCCAAGAGAAGTAATTTTGCCCTTTCTACTTATATTATTTTCAAAAACATTGTAACGCTTAGCATTACTTCAAGAATATTAAGAAAAGGTATTAACATATGACAATATTTTGACTATCAGGAAGTATTTTTTTTTTTTTTGAGACGGAGCCTCAAGCTATCCCCCTGGGTAGAGTGCCGTGGCATCTCGCTCACAGCACCTCCAACTCCTGGGCTCAAGCGAGTCTCCTGCCTCAGCCTCCCAAGTAGCTGGGACCACAGGCGCCCGCCACAACGCCCGGCCATTTTTTGGTTGCAGCCATCATTGTTGTTTGGCGGGCCCGGGCTGGGGATTTGAACCCGCCACCTTGGGTGTATGTGGCTGGCGCCTTAGCCGCTTGAGCCACAGGCGCCGAGCCTATCAGGAAGTATTTTAATTCTAGAAGCACAGAGAGAAATAAATTTTGAATAAGTGACACACTGGAGGTTCAAAATTAGCTTTAAAAATAACAGCTTGGGGGAAAGGTTCATGGACTTTAGAAAAATAGATTAACACAGAGAAAATGTCTAAGTAAATCTGATGAATATATTTCCCCCCTTTAATCAAGAGCCACAATAAAATACAAAGCCCATGACATTCTGAATACTAACAGGCTGCACATCCAGAGCAACAGAAAGTCATTAAGTATGGCTAGTATATATATAACATACGAAAGGAATTCGTTTCATCTCATTAACCTTGGGGAAGTGATCAGAAATTATTATAAATGTGTACCCTTAACACATGGGTAATTTGTATAAATAAATACCAGATTCGAGAGGGAGTTTAACAGCAACATTTGTTTTAAAAAAAAATAATTTAGGATTTATGGTTGATTGCAAGATCAACAGGAGCCAGTAGTGTCATGTTCAGTTCTGGCACTATCCTTTGTGGACAGTGAAGAGATTCAGAACCAGTTCATATGAGGAATGGTTCAATTCATCTAAGGAAATTAATTTGGACAAAGCTTAGGGGGATATGGTAGCTGTCTTCAAACATTTGCATGGTGATCGTGTGGAAGGATGAAAATTGTTCAAAGTGGCTTCAAAATAGAATTAGGACAGCTGACTGAAAGTTACAAAAAGACTTTTAAATACTTGAGTAGTTTTCTGAAAATGAAATGAACTATACTAGGACATAGTAAATACTTTTCCTTCTGAGGAGTTAAACCAGAGCTCAACCTTTTGTTGGGACTATTACTGGAGAATTCAGTCATTAGTTATAAGACCGGAGAAGTTAAAAAAAACTCCCTTGGAATCCTGAGAGTCAATGATTCCATGCATTAAACTGTGCTTTACTACCTGACCCCTTGGTCAGTCTTCTAATCACCAACAGAAAGTTTTGAATTAAGGAAAATAAGCTGGTATTCCTTGAAACTATACTCAACTTCCAGTTTTGCATGTTATTGGAAATAATTTTCTGGAAAAGAATGTGAAACTAGAAGAAAACTTAAACATAATTTAATTTTAAAAGGCAATCTTGTGAAAAAATGATTTAAAGAATATAACTATGACCTATGGCTCATTTTTCAGAAGGCAGCCTATTTTATTACTCGTTAGGATTCTAGCTACAATGAACTAAGTTAAATGGAATGTCCTGGGTAAACAGATTATTGTTTTGATATTTATCATTTGTCAGATATTTGAATTTAATATAAGCATTCTTGAAAGATGACAAGTTTTAAAAGGTTCTGTTGATATTTTTCATAGTTTTCCTCTTTGCAAAGGTTGGCAGTACTTGGTAATAGAAAAGAGAAAGCGCTGACCAGAAGACTGATGGTTTGCAGGATGGGGAACTAAGTAATTTTCAAAACTAGAGTACAGAACTAAAAACAGGGCAGCATTCTGAACTGGAGTTTATTGAAAGGAATAAATAAACAAACATAGTAATTGAATCTGTAAGCCACCTCTGTGCAATGGTAAAGAAAGTTCCTACTTTAACTTTTTTCTTCTTTTTATTCTGGCATGGGAATTTAAAATTATGTTTTGCTTTAGCTAATAATAAAATCAGCCTGCATTCATATATGTTTGCTCTTTGCACATACACATATTGGTAGCTTAAACAGATTCTTTGAAAAATAGAAAAAGGAAAACAGTATGCAATTATAAATTAGCCATCAATGTTTATTTAGAAATGGCTAATCCACACATTTTAGATTTTACCTCATTTGGACAATTCAACTTTTAAAAGCTCTATGTCCTAAATATTACCTTCTTTGAATATCATTTTAAATCTCTTTATATAGGGCCCCTTCCCTTAAATGCTGGGGCTATGAAGAGTAAAAAGGCAGAGGTTAGCTGGGACTAAGGCCAAGTTTTGAGACTAATTGAGGCAATATAACAAGACCTGGTTCCTATTTCCCGAAAGACAAAGTCTGTCCTTAAGGGACTAAAGTTCTAATTATGATCACACAGTTATTAAATTTAAAACAATCTGATGGCGCTTTTGGGGGGTGGAATGAGGTATGAAATACCGAGGTTGGGTCAATAGTTAGCTTGAAAGTTTTACACCAGCCTGAAAGTGACCAGGTTTTGACAGAAGCTTTTTAAAAAGTGGTCTTACCTCCAGCTACAAGTCCAGACTCCCCTAATTGAATAGCTACCCCAAAGCCCCCAAGTTTAACAGGTGCTGAGTTTTCTTTTGAGGCGAGGAGAACACAGTGGGGCTGAAAAGAAAAACAGATAAAAAATAAGCCTAAAGATAAACTGAAAATGAACAATTCAGTTTTGACAAAATTAAATAACATGACAATACAATAATAACACATTAGGAACTTCTGATTACTTAGATGCTTGAATTATTTGTCCTATTCTCACTTTTGGATGATTTCTCCAAAGACAGACTTGTTCCATCCAATATTTTCAGGAATTATTTGCTAAGAATTACTCAGAAAGCATGGATTTTCAAGAAATACAGATAGATACATTTTCTGCCCCCAAAAGGGCATGTATCTATCTGTATTTCTGCCTTTATATGCAATATTTTCTTTCTTCTTTTTGAGACAGATGCTCACTCTGTTACCCTGGGTAGAATGCTGTGGATCATAGGTATGAACTACCACTCCTGGCCCTTTTTATGCATTATTTTCTTTCTGTGAGTGATCATTAAAATTTAAGAAAAAAATATATTTTATACTTCCTGCCGATATGTTTCTTGAAACCCCTGTCTACCTATAAAGCCATTGTATCTTGGCCACTGAAGGATACTAATGACCCTTTGTTTGTCCACCCTTCCCATCCACTTTTCTTTATTCATTCCACCTCTAAGTAAAGGAGTATTAAATGGATGGGTCAAATTTAGTGACTTCAGTTGAGCCTTGCTCCCAGGGAATTCATTGCTCTCCCTGGCATGTCATTTTTCTGGATGTGCCTTTCCTCTCTGTAGAAGTGGGAAGTGAGAAAGGAGAAGCGGAAAGGCGCCCACTTGGCTGGCCCCTAGTCCAGGGCAAAGACATCCTTCCCACGGAGTACCTATTAGACTAAGTATCACAAGCTTTGTTATAATAATGAGGGTTTCTTTGTCAAACCATGTCCTCTGCATCTGTCTCATTCTGGGATCTTGCTGAGGCTGGTATCAGGGTCCTTTGGTCTCTGCTCAAATACTGTGCGCCCCAATGTGACTAACACTATCTGATCTGCTCTCAAAATGGACTAGTGAAAAAGATAAGCCTCTTTAGGCACAGAAGACAAAAGTATTTTTTCTTTTCTCCTATACTTTGTCATTCATAAAATGAGACAGTTTTAGATCAGTTTTAGCCAACATGGTAGTGGGTATGAAAAAAAAAGTGTGCAATAAAACAGAGCTGGTGCTACCAGAGAGATAGATAGATTTTTGATGATGATACGCAGAAGCAGAAGGGATCCTTAACTTTGCACAGTGAGAGAGAATCAGGATTCTATTTTGGAAGTAATTTTTTTTGTCCAAAGAAGTTCAAAAACCTTTATAGTACAGTCTAGTACAGTGGTTCTCAACCTGAACTTTAATACAGTTCCTGTCGCAACCCACAGGAACTCTATTAAAGGGTCGCGGCATTAGGAAGGTTGAGAACCACTGTTCTAGTAGAAAGAGAGATGAGCTCTCAAATATAAGTGTGTATGACTATGTGAAAGTGAGAGAAAGAGAGGAGGAAGCAAATGTGCAGTGGATAAACTATGAGATGACACCAAAGTAGCAAGAAGAGTATATGGGAGAGCAAGTAAACCTCTACAGAAATTCACTGATAAAGACTGCTCTAAGAACTTCCAGCTGGTTCAAAGAGAGATCAATGACAGCAGACTAAATAAAAGGAATACTCCTAGTAAAATTCTAGTGTGGGACACAGCAAATGAATGAGCCTAGAAAAGGATGGGCATGACACAGAAGAAAATACAAACTGGACCCAAACAGGGTCACAAGGTCTCCTGGCCATGCCTGTGAATGTGTTTTTATTACTTTTTTAGGAAAGAGAAGTAGAAGCTTTGATTGGAAGCCAAATTGGAATGTACGCCCTTTATGGTTTGTTGACTATATTTATGCTTAAGTTCGTGTTATTATGAAATCTACGTAATTCTCACCAGTGTAGATGCAGTCATTCTCAATAAAGCCTTAAGTGAGATAAATGATAAAATTTGAACTTAAGATAGAAAATAAACAAAGAAACCTATAAATACAAAGTAATATAGTGTAAAGCCTAGTAGTGGTAAGTGTCATGAGGTAAAATTAAGTTGGTGAAGAGGTAAATGATATAGTAATAGGTTTGGGGGCTAGGGAGCTGCTATTTTCATTGCAGGGGTGGGATGTCAGAGGAGGCCTCTTTAATGGGGTACTATCTGAATCGAGAACCAGAACGAAGCGAAACAGCAAGTTTTAGGCAGGAAGGATAGTCAATGCAAAAGTGCAGAGGTATGAGGAGGGTTGGTATGTTTAGAGAATTGGAAGGAAGCCAGTGTGTCTAGAAGAGAACAATAAGCAGGGGACAGAGTGGCAGGAAATGTGATCTAAGAGATGATCAAAGGTCTGGGACCATGACTGGCTGAGATGGGAAACCACTAGAACATTTTTTTTTTTTTTTAAAGACAGAGTCTCACTTTGTAGCTCTCGGTAGAGTGCTGTGGCATCACAGCTCACAGAAACCTCAAACTCTTCGGCTTAAGCAATTCTCTTGCCTCAGCCTCCTGAGTAGCTAGGACTACAGGTGCCTGCCACAATGCCTGGCTATTATTAGAGATGAGGTCTTGCTCTGGCCCAGGCTGGTCTCAAACCTGTGAGCTTAAGCAATCTACCCACCTCGGCCTCCCTGAGTGCTAGGATTACAGGTGTGAGCCACTACACCCGGCCCACTAGAAAGTTTTGAACAAGGGAGAACTATAGTCTGTTTTAGGTTTTGAAAGGATCACTCTGGCTTCTGTGTGAAGAGATTGCAGGAGCACAAGAGTGGAAGAAAGGAGATCAGTTAGGTTACTGCAGTTGTCTGGGCAAGATTTTGTGGCTTGGACTAGCCTAGAGTGATAGAAGCAGAGATGCTGAGAGGTGGTCAAATTCTATTTATGTTCTAAAGATAAAGCTGACAAGAACTGCTGCTGAATATGGGTGTGAAAGAGAAACAAGGTAAGTATGATAATCAGGTTTTGTTCTGAGCAACTTAGTAAAAATAAAGACACCATTTACTGAAATGAGGAACACCAGGGGAAGAGTTTGCATGGGGGATTAAGAATTTAATACATATTAAGTATGAGATCTCATAAGATGGGGTAAAAGAGAGGCTGGGATTAGAGGTATAAATTTGAGAAACAACATGCAAATAGTATTTATAGCCAAGGTAATGAACACAATCACTTAGGACATGACTACTGATAGAGACAAGAAAAGTCAGAGGATTGAGCCCTGGTACACATGATATGTGAAGTCAGGAAGATGAGAACAATCTAGTAAAGGAAAGAGAATGTGAAGCAGGAGGAAAATCAGAATTTGATATCCAGAAGCCAAGTGAAGAAACTTTTTCAAGTAGGAATAATTACCAGTAATAGTTACTAAGGTCATTGAAAATGAGAACTGACCATTAAATCTGACAACTTGGAAGTCACTGGTGACCTTGATAAGAGTGGCTTTAGTTAGTGGTATGATATAGACAAAACCCCCATTGGACCAGCTTCATGAACAAATGGGAAGAGAAGATATAGAAACAGTATATATAGGTATCTTTCAAAGTTTTCCTATACTAAAAATGGAGAAATGGGATGTAGCAAGAAGAAAATGTAGCTGAGGATGTTTCTTTTTTTAACTTTTTAACATTTACAATTGGAGAAAACAGATTAATAAAACTCCACGTACCTATCATCCAACTTTAGCAATTATCAACACTCGGCCATTGTTGTTTCATCTGTCCCCTACCATTTATTACATCTTTTTTTGCTGAAATATTTTAAAACAAGTCATATAATTTACTGTTAAACAGTTCACTATTTCTGATATAGGACTTAAAGTTAATATTATCATATCCAATAAAATGAGCAATAATTCTTTAGTAGTTGTGTAGCAAAGGGTGGGGTCAGGAACTGACCTTGAGGAAGAGGTTTATCCACATCCGGTTAAGGTACCAACCAAACATGCAAAAACAAACTGTTGGTGGGGTCAGTTAATAACATTAAGTACTTAGTCCACATTCAATTTTCCTTGACTATCTTAAAAATATCTTTTTACAGATAGTTCAAGGAAGTTATCAGACTCCTAGAGTCTTGCAGACTTAAAGGGGTGCCCAATGGCTGAAAAGGAGATACTCTGAGCATCAAAAATTTTAAAGGCAGAAATTGGTACACAAAGACACATCAAATATATAAACATCTGTAAGTTCATAGTAAAAACACACACAAAAAAGCCCTTTATTGGTCACCTCTGGAGGTTACTTAGAAACCAACTTGGTATTCTGGAAATAGTTCATAACAATTTTACTCATAACATCTAAACTAGAAATAGCCCAAATATCTATTGAACAGGAGAATGGGCAAACTGATATATTCATACATGAAATACATAACATTAAAAAGAAATGAAGTACTGATCACAGCAAAGTGGATAAATCTCAGAAACATGCTCAGTAAAGAAGCCTCATATAAAAGAATACATACTGTATGGTTTTATGTGTATGAAGTTCTAAGATAGGTAAAACAAACCTACAGTGCAAGAATATCAGAATAGTGATTTGCACAGGGTTGGTGGCTAGAATGGCCACAGAGGCTGAATGTATGGGAAGGAAATAGGGGAGGTTTCTGGAATAATAATATCTTCATAGGGATTACACAGATATATGCAATTCATCAGAACTCTAATGGTATTCCTGTGCATTTCACAGTATGTAAATTTTTATCTTAAACATAATTTTAAACAGATATTAAATTCCAATGATATATGTGCTGAAGTGTAGTAAAAAGACAGATTGTGGGGATAAATAGATATTTGATAAAGCAAATGTAGCAAAATGTTAATTACAGAATCTAGGTGGTAAATATATGACTATTTACTATACAAGTTTTTTAATTTTCTGTATGTTTGATAGTTTTTGTAACAAAATGTTGAGGAAAGCCTCCATTTTGGAACCCCTACTTATAGACCTAGGTATCAATGTCTGCTAACATCATTGAGTGAAAAATTGATGGCAAATCTTATAATGATGAGTCAGACAGATAACAC